ACAGCTGCCTCTGCCCATGGCAATCAGGATCAGGGAAGCATCGTGCTTTGGAAGGCAGACCACAGACTGTGGTTTAGTTTCTGATCCAACTAAAACATGTGTGCATGTTTTAAATCTTGGATCTCACAACTTTTCTTGAATGCTGTGTATTTCCCATGATGAGAAAGAAAGGCCTATATTTAAAGTGATACATATGCGATTCTTGGGTACTTTCTCTGCCACCCATCATTCAATCAACAAATATTTATTCGTCATCTGCTCCAAGCTACACACCTACTGGGTGCAAGGAGTGCAGTGGTGAGCAGCCCTGTGCAGACGCTGCCCCTGCAGCCTTCTTTCCAGCTCAGCCTCCTGTCAGGACATCTTTGGGAAGTCCTTTAACCTCTATGAGTCTCCAAGTAATTTCCTCTGCAAAGTGAGGAAATTAACACACATTCCGAGCGCTTCTAGGGAACGCTGAAACTATGGAGAATGAAGTCCCCCATGCAACAGTCCAGCACCTGTGCTGTGTGTTCACCACCCTGGAGGAATACATTTCAGTTCCCCTCCCACACCAACAGACTCTCCTTCCCTGTTACCAGGGGCACTTCTGATGAATATTGAGGTCCCCTGGTTCCCCTAAGACTCAGGACACACACTGCTCCCTGCTAATGGCTTCAGTGCACAGCCAGTGAGGGGAGCCATGGGTCCCTACTAAGCTGCTTCCACCCCAGCTTTCCTTCCGAGCAGACACACCTGCCGGTTCACAGTCTAACCCTGTGACCTGCCCAAGTCTCTGAGTCCCTCGTGAGGTGAGAATTAGAGCAGCATGTACTGAGGGCACAGAACGGGGGTGAACGGACCCCTCCCGGAATGAGTGGGTGCTCCCGGGAGAGGAGGCTTGCAGAGGGCCTTCTTGCCGAACGTGCCCTGGTGAGAGCGGCTGCATGGGCAGTGACCCCAAGGACAACACTGAAGGGCGGCTCACTTTCTGGGGTCCCCACCAGGCTGGCTGAGGTTTTGTCACTTTGCTTCCTGGAAAAAATGTGTTTTACTCCGTGAGTATCAGAAACCGCAGTGAATTCTGTTCTCACCCCCAAATATAAGAGCCTACAGAACTCTCCACCCCCACAATTTTTTCTCTGTTCATCCCACATTAGTCTCTTCAAATGAGTCTAGCTCAACCCAACTTACCGGTGATTTGCTGAAAACACCCACTGGCTTGAAATATCTGGCATCGCTGGCACTTCTGCTCCCCCTCCTCTGCTGGCCCCTCACCCTCTGGGTCCTTACGTGGCATGTGGGCCTTGGAGGAGCTATGTTGGCAGTTAAGGCCAGACACTAGGATAATGAGAGTTACTTGGGTTGTATTATTTTTCTTAAATAACGAGTTGTTTAGTGGTAGTGGTGTCTCTAAACTCAATAGATTCAACAACAAGGGTGTCTGAGTATATTACACCCCCACCTCTCTTCTTGCAAGATGCCTTTAGGAATTGGGCTCTTATCATGGTAGAGACAGAATGTAAGAGAGAACTTACTCCATGTTTATGAAATAATTAGAGAGAAATGGCTTCTTGGTATCAGCTTCCTGGCTTGTCTTAATAGACTATCAATCAGAAAGTTTCTGATCTCTTCAATTGGCAGGACATTGGGACATCTCGGATGGAAACTAAGTGACGTGTAAAAAACAGACATGCTGCCCTTGCTCTCCCTCAAGCTGGTGCTCTTCCCTCCCCTGCTGCTGGCCATCATATCGGAGATGGGAGCAGGCTCAGCGGAGGCCTGTACCTGGATGGACCCACGGAAGGCTATGTTCCCACCGCCTGGAACAGGTGGGCAATGGGACTAACGTTCTGGCTGATGAAATGTTAGAGCAAATGTCTTAAAAGCCCCGACATGCTTCACCGTTCCTTCTTCCCTGGTGCAGCTGCTGTTGACATTCCAGGTGGTGGGGCCATCGGCCTGGGCCCCTGTGTGAGCGGGTGGAGCAGACCCTCCCCTTGTGCACTTTTCCTCTGTGAGAGCAAAATACATGTTTCTATGTTAAACCACTGAAATTTGGGAATTGTTAGCACAGCATAAGCATAACCTATCCTGGAAAAAAAAAAAAAAAAAAGCCCTTGCAATCAAATAAAATATGCTCAAATACTTGAAGGTGATGTTTTCTCTCTACTGGCTTATATGATAGTCAAAACAGAAACTTCCAGCTCTAGCCCTGGTTGGCATGGCTCAGTTGGTTGGAGCGCTGTTCACACACCAGAGGGTGGTGGGTTCATTTCTGTACAAGGCACATACCTAGGTTGTGGGGTTTGATCCCTTGTCAGGGTGTGTGCAGGAGGCAACTGACCTATGTTTCTCTCTTGCATCTATATTTCTCTCTCTCTCTCTCTCTCTCTCTCTCTTTAAATCAATAAAAAAAATTCCCAGCTCTAGTTCTCTAAGCACATTGCCCTCCAGATCCCTTGACTGAAAATCTAGTTTTAATAGCCCACCTCTAATTCCAGGATAGAATTTCTTTTATTTGCCTTCCGTACCCTTCAACTTAGACATGCAATTACAGACAAGTAACATGAGACACAGTTTCTCCTGGGCAAAGGAGAGCATAGCTATGCACCACTCAGAAAAGGCATGATTGAGAGGCTATGGTTCCAGCCCTCCAAAGAAGGCTCCGGAAGGCAGTATGCTGTGGGACCCCATGCGGGTAGGCCCTCCACATGGGCTGCCAGAACTGCTTTTCACAGGGCTCAAAAAACAGCAGGTATTCAGGGACTGACTCAGACTAACCAGACTCATACACCAAAGGCTAATATATAAACAAGACATTGTTTTTTTTTTTTATAACGGGAATTTGTTTTTTCCAATGACTTGAATATTCATGAGCACAATCCAGTCCAAATATTCTCTGTAAGGGCAAATCAGAGAAGACAGAACACAGGAGAAGAAGATGGTTACATGGATTGCAGGCTGACCATCTGGGGTTATTTTGTCCAGATGAGTTTGAATTCTCTCTCTCTCTCTCTCTCTCTCTCTCTCTCTCTCTCTCTCTCTCTCACACACACACACACACACACACACACACACACACACACACACACGTACAATGCTAGATAAATACTAACACACTGAGAGGTGCTTGTTTTGAAGTCCTGGGTGATGGGCAAAAGGCATCTATGGATGGACATTGTGTGCATGGGCACCGCTGCTCTCAGGGTTCTGATCCTGCTCCAGTAGCACAACCCCCCATTCATGTGGTGAGCTGCCATGGATCACATTGCAGGGGGCCACACTGAACACTGACCCTCAGCCGGCCGGAAAGTTACCAAAGACTTGGACCCTCTGAGAAAATCACCACCATCCCTGTCCATCATTCCGCTCTCAGACTCAGTGTTCTCGTCTACGCAGGCCAGTAGCCCAGCCTCTATAAAGAGCTGCTGTGAGGGTCAAACGAGAGAAAGCAGGAAAATATGTTGTGAGGTCTTTGGTAAGTGTGAGAGGGAATGAATTTAGAAATCCAGCGAGTGTTCAGCACCATGTGGAGTCTCCTTGGTGATGTTAGTCAGTCAGTTTCCGTGGATCACATGCTGTCCCAGCTCTTCTCCGGAGTTGTTACTCCAAGGTTGTGGCACCAAATACCCGATACTCCTTTGGTAGAGCTCAGAGCTGCAGATGAGACACACTGACAGTTTGTGGACTCTCACACTCAGGCCTTCAGGGGCCCCAGCGCTGAGAAGGAGCCTCCGTTCCAGTGGCGCTGAGAGACTGGGAGACCTGGAGACCCCCCAGGAGCCAAGGCAAGTTTTAGGAAGCACCACAGACATGGCTGCATGGGCAGGGCGAGCTGTGCGCAGACAGTATGGTGCATGGGACTGAGCCCTGGCACCTCTCAGCCCCTCCAGACTGACATTCGTGAGTAAATGAGACCATTCAAACCTCTAGAACTCATTGGAAATCAAATCACTCTCTCCGGGCAGAATGGCGCCCAGAGGAAAACTGTGAGAATCAGTCAGTGTCCACCCGGAGGCATGTGTGAGGCCCTGGAGCGCACCCACCACCCGCACCGATGCCAGTGCACGGCCTCTCTGCCAGCCGACTCTGCCAGGCCAGGTCCCGTTTCATGGTTGTGGGTGACGCAGTAGATGAGATCATGGCTCAGCCAAAGTGCTGCCCACCATGACTTCCAAACAAGAACTGTCCTCTGCCAGTTTAAGTTGGGTTTGGCCATGGCTCTGGCTTTGGCAGAGAATTGGGCAGACAGTGTGCCCGATCTAAGCCAAGCGTGTGAGAGGCATCACATTCCTCTGGTATCATCTGACCCCCGAGAAGGAGTTGCCCCGGTGGCCACCAGCTCTCCATGTTGGGCCCCAAATAAGACGGGGGAGAGCCTGCCGCTCCCAGACCTGTGAGCTGTGCAAATGAAAGTGCTGCTGGCTGCTCGGGGCCAAGCGGCCGCACAGGCGTGTGGGCACAGGCTCTCGGACGAAGCAGACGTGAGACGTCGTGGGCACACAGGGCGTCTTACTGCAGACCAAGCAGCCACTGCTGACAAGGAGCCATTAAACAGTAGTTCTTCCCACAAAGCCGCCGGCAGACATAGGAGCCAGCCACCTGCTGGCCCACAGCCTCTGGATAGGAGCTCAGGCAGAAGAGGCTTCTTGCCAAACAGACACCAGCATCCGGTACAGAGAGGCTGGCAGGGCCACGCTGGGTCCTGCCTTTGCACCTGAGTGTGGCAACTTGGCCTCGAGCACCGGCGTGCTCTGATGAGGGTCCCACAGCAAGTGACTGGCGCCCTGCTTCTGCTCCGGGACAGTGGGGAGAGGATGCAGAGGAGTCTTCTGCAAACACTGGTTGTAAGAATTAAACAAGTTAATGCACAGATGCACTTAGACACTTCCTGGCACAGAGGAAGCGCTTTAATGGGTGCTAGTTCTTGTGGCTGTGTGGAGTGGAGGAGCGAGCAGGCACCCACAAGGAAGGGAAGGGGCCAGAGCAGGTGTTGGGCACCGTGTGCCAGGGGAGCCTCAGCACAAGTACTCGCCTGCCCACCCACCCCCGCTGGCGCCTCCAGGCGCAGAGTCCAGGCTGGAGCCAGCGCGGATGGACAGGAGCCCGTTGGCCTCACTGAGGCTGGGCTGGGGCCGCGCCCCCGAGTCCTCGCCCAGGCCGAGGCTCAGCGCGTCCAGGCTGAGGTAGGTGCTGGGGGCCTGGGCAGAGCCGCGGCGGCAGCGCCTGCGGAGGGCCCCGCAGCCCACGAGCAGCGTGAGAGGCAGTGCGATGACCGCGGCCACGCTGGCCACCACCGCGTTGATGAGCCGCTGAGTGGCCTCGGCGCCCGCCACCTCGTCGGGGGAGAAGACAACACACTGCTCCTTGCGGGGCGCCAGGCCCCATGCGCACACACAGGCCACGTACTTGGTCTCGGGCACCAGCCCCCGGAGGGTGACCCTGGTCCTCCCGGGCGGCACAGCCACCCGCCGCATGGCCCGCTGCCCGAGGGCGGCGTACAGGACGCTGAGGGCCACGCCGCCGGCCCGCGGCGCCTTCCACACCAGCGTCACGCTCTGGCGCGTGTCCCCCACCACCTTGAGCGCCATCACTGTCCGGGCCTCCTGGGGTCCGGTCGGCCCAACCTCCTCCGTGCTGGGCCCTGCAGGCCCGGGCGTGGGGGGCGCACGCCGGGCTACCAGCCTGTTGTACACAGCTGCTCCCGGCCCCTTGCCTGTCCTTGCCCGGGGGACCCCCGGACTCCCGCTGTGCTCGGTGGAAGCCTGGGGCTCAGCGATGACCAGGGAGGTGAGGGTCTCGGAGGCGCCCAGGAAGTTGCTGGCCTGGCAGACGTAGTCCCCGGCGTCAAGGTGGGACACGGCGGGCAGGCCCAGCAGTGCCCAGCTGGTGCCATCCCTGGAGACCTGCTGGTGCACTGGGGAGAGGGGGGGAGCACGGATGAGGAGGGTGCCCGTGCCCAGGCTCCCTCCCAGGACCAAGCTCATAGCCCGGACTGCGTACACGCCACTGAAGGCCTTGTCACCCCAAGAAAACACTGGGGCTCACCCAACCTTTCTTAGACTAGCCAAGGAGATTGAGGCCCTCGAGGCTCTAATCTGGGGAGACACAGGCTGAGTTAGTGCCCAAGAGTGTCCGCCTTCTAAGCCTGCCCCGTGCCCATGTTCCTCAGCCCTGGAGCTCTGCAGCGCTGACCAGGCAGCGGCTAGTGGGGGGAGAGACTGAAGCCCTGGGACGTGCCCTCCGTGGCTGTGTGGCCCTGCCCAGCTCCGGGGCACCTCCTGCTGCTGTTTGTGGCATGGCGCTCTGCACAGCTCCGTGCACCCTGGTTCCAGACCCCTAGTTCTAACAGCACTGCCAGCCTGGCTGCAGGAGAGAGAAGAAAGCTGGTGGGACCAAATGTTGGTCAGACACTGAGATATTCCTCCTCAGCCCCCGTGGGCATGGTGAGCGCTGGCTCCACACTCTGCCAGCCCACCCAGGCAGAGGAGCCCTCTGTCCCCGGGGCAGAAAGAGCCACTGCAGAGCCCTCCTGCTGGGCTGGGGGGCCAGGCATGCAGCTCTCAGAGCCTCGGGTCATTTACACAAAATAAGAAGACTGCTCTCCAAAGCTCCAAGGCCCGAGGGACGGAATGCATTTAACAAAGAGCTTCATGAATGTGACTCACATCAAAAGCTATCCTAGTGATACCGACTTAATATTTGCAGCCAGGAGACTCACTATAAACCTTAAACACACTGAGAGAGCACCTCCCGCCCATGTCAGCACGCTGCCCTCTCGGGCCCTGAGCCTCCAATAGAGGGGCTGGTGGATGTGACAGGACAGGCGAGAGCCACCAAGATGCCACTGTCCCCGGCCTGCCGCTGCGTGCGCCTGCCCAGCCCCATGGGGCAGAGTGGGAGCGGCCAGCCCGCTCCTCGGCCTCTGGGACCCTGCCTCGCCTGCCCTGCGGGGCTCAGCAGGTGGCCCTGGCAGCTCACACACCTGTGCCGTTGAGTGGGCGCCCACTGACCCTCCTCCAGCTCATCTGGGGCTCAGGGACGCCAGTGGCCCCACAACGAAGCAACACTGTGCTGCCCAAGGGAGACCTGACGCTGGCCACGGCTGGCTGCAGCTCGGGTCCCTGGCACCTCCTCAGCTGCAGCTGGCTGAAGGCCATGCCGGCCAGGCCCCCCGGGCCCGCACACCGCAGCCCAGCCTCTATGAGGGCCAGGTGCGGGGCCTCGCCATCCAGGAAGTGGACCAGCTCGTGGAGTCGGCAGTCGCACACCCAGGGGTTGTCTTGCAGCCCTGCAGGTGAGAGGCCCGAGGTCAGCCAGGCTGGTCATATCCCCAGGCCCACTCCCTTCCCCTGGAGGGACGAGGCAGGTCCTGAGCTCCGCCAGCAGAACTGGCCTCCCACCACATTTCCTACCTCTCCCCCGCCCCCTCGGGCCCCAGCCTGCCCCCTCGGGCCCCCAGCCCTGCCCCCTCAACCTCCCCATCCCTGCCCCTTCAGCCCCCCATCCCTGCCCCCTCAGCCCCCCTGGCCCTGCCCCCTCGGCCCCCCGGCCCTACCCCCTCAGCCCCCCATCCCTGCCCCTTCCTCAGCCTGCTCTTTCTCTCGAGGCCTCACATGCTTCCCTGTCAGGTTGTCATGAGCATAAATAAAAAAGAATCACATCAGGTACTGGGAAGGCCATACAGCTCCAACAGCATCATGGAGGGACCCTTTCAGGCCCTGTGATGCTTGCTACGTGACACTGCCAGCACCAGCACAGGCGGCTGTGAGCCTGGTTCCTCTGACACCAGCTCCAAAGGAGAGAGGAGAGGAGGCCACTGTCCCCAGTCCCTGCGCTCCCATGACTTTCAGAGCTGGGAGGTCACTGCCCCCCCCACCCCTCGTCAACACCTCCAACGGGGGACAGGGCAGTTCTCAGGCACAAGTCCTCTTTATGTGTTTGCATTTCTGAAATGCAAAATAAATGCTTTTAATATGATCCCCCAAAGACTGGTATGGAATGCGATAGTAGTGTGTCTAGGAATCGGTGTGTCTTGTACATGAATCTGCAGGCGTTCGGTTTGTTTGAAAGAAGGATGTGAGTGTGGAAAGGCTGCATTCAAATCTGCTGGATGTTCACAGCTCATGTGAGCCAGCGGGGCATGGGACCCTCCTGCCCCAGCCCTCCCCACCCAGCGGCGGCTGCTCCCGTCCCCCGGGAAGTGCGTGGAATGGGCTTGCACCTAGTACAGAGTCTCCAGTAAACAACTGCAAAAGGCAGAGTCAGAGATCAGTGACGTGGTCACCGCTATTGGCGAAGTGTGACTTTGGCCACGTAACCTTTTGGCTCCATGAGAAAGCAGATCTGCATTAGCTGTGCTCACGGCTGCACTCCCAGTGCCTAGAACTAGGCCCAAGTTCATAAGGGCTCATGTCAGCTTGCAGAGCGGGCACACAAGCCTGGGGCCACGCCCTAGCCCCTGCAGGTACCAGGCTGCAGAGTGAAGATCAGGTGTGACTAAAATCACGAAGGCAGCCCAAAGGCCCACTGCAGAGGCCTGGCTGAGGAAGCTGCGCTATGAAGTGTTAGGCGCCGGTTTAACAACATGAAGCTGGAACTTGTAGTAACTAAAAACATCTCTGAGACACACGCCTGGGTGGGAAGATGGTGCTGGCTGATATATACAATATGATAGAATTGTATGTAAAACACACAGATAAACTTCCTGTGTGTGTGTATGTGTATGCAGATATCTTGTGGAAGACAGGAAATATGAAAATAAATATAAGAGTGGCTACCATTTATGAGGGGGAGAAGAGACAGAAATTTTAGCCTTTCTAAAATATTTTAAATGTTCACATATATTCCTGCATGTGTTGTGTCATTAAAATTAATTTTCCAGAATGTATGTCCCCACCCGCCAGGGAGGTGCCTGGGGCAAGAAAGGCCTAGCCCCTGGCAGCCCTGGTCTAGAGGACCAGAGCAGGAGCGGCGGTGGGAACCGCCCTCCGCTGTCTCCTGGCTGCACACAGACGCTCTGTCCCTGAGGTGTGACCCTTGCTCAGCACCCCTTGCCCTGCTGCCGGCCATGGTTGGAACCAAGTCACCAAACATTTAAGGAAAGGATGCTCCAGTTTGACTTGATGTTCAAATTAACATTTGTCCTGGAGGTGCTCCCCGGAAGGTGCCCTTGTGTGGAGGCTCTCGAAAGGGCGGGCTGAAGGGCTTCCCCAGGGCAACCCCCCAGCCCCAGGCCCAGGCTGTCTGGCTAGCAGCCTCTCTGATGCTGCACACCTCCCTCAGGGGACTGGGAACCAGACCCGCTGCTGACAGAGCATTGGCCCAACCCTCCACCCCAGCCAGACTCACACGGGCTGTGCTTGCTGCCCGTGCCCTGCCGGGCCCTGGAGCAGGTTACATGACCTTGTCTTTCCTCCAATTGTGGCTGGGGGCAGAGGAGGCCATGTGTGCCAGGTCACACGTGGTCGCCCGCAGGCCCAGACTGGTGGCAGTCTCCTCACCCCAGTGTATGTGTTCCCTGTAAAACGGGGATGTGCTGCACTGGCTGCCCTGGTGCGGTGAGGGCCGTTCTATGAGGAGCAGAAGGGAGTGTGGGGACCTTCAGGGCCACACTGATGCTAATGGCCATCAAGGATGGCAGGTCAGCAACGATGCCATCTGGGGGGGGGGGGGAGGGAGAGGTGCTTTGAAGACTGTGGGCTTTGGGTTTTCCAGAAGGAGGCTGAGAGGAAGAGTATGGTGCAGGGGGAGGAGGAAAGCAGGAGAGAGGGAGCTCTGTGCACCTGGGAAACCCCCAGGCTGGGGCAGGGAGGGGTTGCGGGGCAGGGATGGTCTGTAGCTGAACTTCCCCATCAGAGTCGCGGGTGATTGGGCCTTTACCTCCGCCCTGACAGGTCCTGGATGGGACTGTTCTCACAGAGGGGTGTGGCCTTGGGAGAGGCTGCGTGAAATGGTCCAGATGGTCCCTAGGTGCTGGGCTGGGGGGGAGGGCACGTCCCTGTGCTGCCCAGGTGCCCGCGGCTGCCAACGCTGTGCCCACAGGCCTGCATGTTTGAGTAGATTTTTCTATCAACCTCTCTTCTCTAAGGGACACGGGCACAGAGAGGCTGAGTCAGGGACGCAGCTAGCAAGAGGCAGGGCCAGAATTGGAACTCCTCGCCTTACCGGTATGTGCCTGGCACCCAGCCTCCACTCAAACCCGGCACCGGCGCCTGGTCTTTCTCCCAGGGAGTCGGAGCCCAGAGGCAGCATCCGCGGGGGCGAGGGCCCTCTTACCTAGGACCAGCCCAGGGCGGCCCGGGGGCGGGTGCGCGGCGGGCCGCGGGCCCCAGGCGGCCAGCAGCGCGGGCGGCAGCCGCAGCAGCCGGTTGCTGGAGAGGTCCAGGAAGGCCAGGGCACGCAGGAAGCGCGCGGCGCCGGGCGGCACGGCGGCCAACCTGTTGGCCTGCAGGTCCAGCAGCCGCAGGCGCGGCGCGTCGCCCAGCGCGGCCCAGGGGAAGGCGGCCAGGCGGTTGCCAGGCAGGCGCAGCTCCCGCAGGCGGCCCAGGCCCCGCAGCGGCCGCGCGCCCAGCCGACGCAGCGCGTTGTGCGGCAGCCAGAGCTGCTCCAGGCGGCGCAGCGCAGCGAAGGCGGCGGCGGGCACGCGGCGCATGGCCGTGCGCTCCAGGCGCAGCCGGCGGGTGTCGGGCGGCACAGCCGCGGGGGGCAGGATCATGTCCGGGTCGTTGCACAGCACGGTCCTGGAAACAGAAAGGGGGCGTCTGAGCGCGGGCAGGCCGGCGAGACCCTCTCCGCCTCCTGCCCGAGGCCGCCGCTGTGCAGGGCCCCGGACACCCGCCTGGCTCCGAGCTGCGGGTTCTGGGATGGGCGGGAGCTAGCACTCCTGGTTCCTGGTGGAGGCGGGGGGGGGGGGGGGGGGTGATTTCAGAGCCTTTCAGGAGTCCCCAGGGCAGCTTGGTCTCTGTCACACCGAGGGACCTCAAGCTGATCCTGCCATGCCGGGCACTGCCCCCCTCCCCCCCAAGTACAGCACTCAGGAGTCCCAAGATCCCCTCAGCACGTCCTTTTACAAATGTGCTAAAAGCATTGATTGTCAAATTGTAACCATTTGGGCTTTTCTTCATTTAAAAAACAATATGCCAAGAGCATCCGAAACGCAGCCACCGAGGTGCCTCCCCTCTGACTGAGCCCGCCCCACCCCGGCCAGACTCACACCGGGCTGTGCTTGCTGCCCGTGCCCTGGAGCACGTTACATGACCTTGTCTTTCCTCCCGGTCCCCTTACCAAGAGAGTCCGCCTCACAGAGGCTGGGGGCAGAGGAGGCCGTGTGTGCCAGCTCACACGTGGTCGCCCGCAGGCCCAGGCTGGTGGCCGGGCACAGACGCCACCGGTCAGTGTCAGTCTCCTCAGCCTGCCAAGGCACCTCCTGCCTGACAGCGGCACCTGACGTTCTGGCTGTGAGTTTGGCCGCAGGGCTGGCTCTCAGGACAAGAACTGCACACCCGCAGGATGGAGCAGTTGTGTGGGAGCCGGCTGGGCCGGGAGGTGCCAAGATGCAAGGGGCCTCAGCCTCCCACATGTCGTGCCCCTGGCATCACAGACACTCAGGCCTCCTCCTCTGGAGGGATCTCCCTGCACATGGCGGGCGAGCAGCTGTGGGCGCCCAGGGGACTGTGGCGAGAGCTCTGGTGTCAGAGGCAGGATGGCTACGGCTGCCATCAGGGGCCTGGAAGCTGTCCTTGGAGAGTCCTTCTCCACACCGAGGTCAACCTGCTGCCAAGTCCCCGTCCCTGCCTGCCCATCCCCGACAGGCAGGCAGGGTCCCAGCGCCAGGCCCACCGAGCTACTGTGGCTCAGCGGAGCTTCCTGTGGTGGGAGGAGGCCCTGTGCAGGCCCAGCGCAGCCTGGCTTCCCTGCAGGGGCCCCTCGTGGCTGGCGGGCTGCAGGGGCTGGATGCAGAGACGTGAGCCACACGTGGAGCTCGTCTGTGCTCCGGCCTCTCACTGCCTCCTCCTCCGGGCCAGCCAGCACGCAGGCTGGGGCCCCGCAGAGGCGCACTGGATGGGACTATTGCTGCCTGGTCAGGAACCAGCAGTGTCGCCCCGCCCACCGGAGACAGGGAAAAGGAAGGTGCATTCCGGAAGGCGAACGGGCTGTGGGAGGGGCCTGAGCCAGGTGAAATCCAGGTGAGGGTTTGGTGCTCAGAGATGGATAAACTGACGTGTCAGAGGAAAGATGCTTTAAAGTCAGAGGAGGAGGAAGAGAGGACATCGTGGTGGGAGGGGAAGAGCAGGGCCTAGGGACGCCCTGGGGAGGTGGCGGTGGGTGCTCCCAGAGCTCAGAGCGGAGCGGAGGGAAGGGCGCGGCTGCAGAATGGGCAGCGGCTGTCGGGAGCTCCAGAAGGGGCCAAGGCTGAGGCTCCCAGGGCTTTGCCAGAGGAGACCCAAAAGGCAGCGCATAGGAGGCAGGCGCTCCGTCCCGAGAGGTGGTCAGAGACACCTGGGATGTGAATGGCACCTGAGAGATGAGGCAAGAGAATAGGAAAGGCCTGGGAAAGAGGAGGCTAAGGAGACATAGACAGAATGGGAGGAAGGGAGGGAGGGAGGAAGGAAGAGAAAGAGGAAGGGATGAGGGGAGGGAGGAAGAGAAGGAGGAGGATGGAAAAGGGGGAGGGAGGGAGAGGGGGAGGGGAAAAGGAGAGGAGGAGGGGAGGAGGAAGGGAGGGAGGAAGGAGGAAGAGAAAAAGGGAGAAGTCCTGGAGGAGGATTCGGAAGGGTTTCCTGGGCTGCACACCTGTGCCCACCCCCCTCCTGCAAAGGCGCTGGTGCCTCCGAGGCAGAGCCAGGCCTGGCTGGCCAGACAGTGATTCAGCACAGATGAGCCTCAGGTCCGGAAAATGGAGGTCTCACCTGGCCACTCTCTGAGCCTCATCCAGCCCTCCCCCCTAGCCAGCTGTGGAGCTGGGCACTGGGTGCCACTCACACACTTGGCGCCTTACCGGGCCATGCCACCTTCGCCCAGCACCTGGAGGCTGCAGCTGCACCGAGGCGGACAGGAGCTCCAGGCCTGGGGCGGGGGCCTGAGGGCCAGGAGCCAGAGTACGCCCAGCGCCACCCTCATGGCTCCGGTTCCGCTGCAGCCCAGGCAGGGGCCGGCCTGGCCCAGTCTGTCCTGCCGGCTTACCCCCTGCCCCCGGCCATCAGATAAACAGGACCGAATGGGGATTAGGGAAGAGAGCTCAGCCAGTCACAGTACTCAGCGGCTTACTGTTCCCTGGAATCACCCATTCTGACATTAGGGTGGGGGTCCCCTCTGTCACAACAGCCACAGGCTCAGAGGCCGGGCTGGACAAGGTGGGGCAGGGAAGCGGACAGGGCAGGCAGTAGCTGGGCCAGCTGGCTGGCCGCCCACCTACAGAGCCCGAGGACAGCCCGGCCATGGGCAGACAGACCACCAGGCTCAGGCTTACAGGAGCCAAGTCAGGTGCTGGCGTCAGTGCCGCGTGGAGATTTTTCTCTGTGCTGTGTGCTGTGGTGCAGAAGCAAAGCAGTGAGGCAGTGAAGGCGTCAGGAAGAGCCCAAGCTCAGGACCACACTGCCTGGTTCAAATCCCAGCACTCCCACTCAGAGCTGTGGCCTTTGATCAGTCACATGATTCCTCTTGGCCTCTGTGTCTTCATTTGTCCACGGGAAGTAATATTATTCTGCTCTGGCTGTTTATGAAAACTGAACAACCCAAGTTCCCCAGACCTCGACAGCCCGAGGAGCAAAGTTCTCTTAGGAGTCTCTAGGACTTTGTTGGCACTTGCAAGTACCTGCTCAGGGAGAAGTGGGGAGTTGCAGAGGTTTGGCGAGACCCCCGAATGCTCTCCCAGGAGCTCACGAGCCCCTGGGCGCCCGGCAGGCAGCTGTCTCCCGCCTGCTGTGAGCAGCCGGGCAGAGCAGCGCCTTCTGAGCAGAGCCTGGCCGTCACCGAGGACCGCGCACTTCTCCAGGAGGCTCTCCCGCGGGCGCCGAGCTGGGCAGGTCCGCCAGCTCCGGAGCTTTGGGGGCAGGTGCTCTGCTATCAGGATGGTCTCCTACCCCAGCCTCTCCCGTCAGGCAGCACTTCCACTCCTGCGTTCCTCACACTTGACCCCAAGGCATTGCCCCTTGGAACAGATGCCCTCCCTGTTCCCTTGGCCTTTCCAGAAGGTTCCTTAGTCTCTCATGACCATGGCCTAGGCAGGCCTAGACCAGGAAGATGTGCCCAGGCAGAGCCAGGCCGCGGGCATCATGCATGCCTGTGTGGACACGGCTTCCAGGGGAGGTGGTTCCCCTCCCTTCCCTTCTCCCAATCCAGCCCAGATGGTCTTCTCCCCGCCACCTCGTCGCACGTCCCCTCCCCCCACCCCCAGCCAAAGGCCAGCCCAGCCCCGCTTTTCAGTCTCTGCTTCCCTTCTCCTGCTGAAGTGCCCTCTGTCGGCCTTACCTGCTGGACTCCACCCTGATTCCAGACCCACCCTGTTTCTCCTCTCCCTCCAACTCTTGAAACCTTGGCATGAGAAAACCCTGACATATGTATTAGCCAGTGATGCAAGACAGAATTAGAGACAAGCAGGGAAGACTGTGGGAACACGGATGACCAAGGAAAGCCCCCAGTATCTGTGGGTGTCACTCAGCCTGAGGGTGCTTAGGCACGGATACATGTGGGAACACAAGAGGAAAGCATGGGAAATACATGTTTAGGAGGTAAATTTCACTGCTTTGGAATGCTTGCATGGCCTCAGGCTGATGCTGAGCTGCAGGGGTGGGGTGTGTGGTTCCCGGAGCTGTGGCAGGAGCCATCCCCGGGAGGTAGTCCGGCCTGGCTTCAGGGAGCACCAAGTGCCTGAGCAGTGCTGCTGACCGCTCTTACCGGAAATGAGTCGGGTTGCTCCAGACTGGCGTTTCCTGCTGTAATCTCACCATGAGCCAGTGCATAACCTCATTGTAGAAGCCAAAGCTCGTAGTGTTGTGGGCCAAGCCCTGGGAGACTGTTGCTTGGAGCTGAAGGGCTCTGTGGGCATCGGGACATGCCACCCGGAACACCACGCCCACCCAAGACCTGCACAGGCCCTGAGAAAAGGTGCCCACACTGCAAGAGGCACACAGCTAGGCAATGGCAGACTCAGAACCAGAACCCGAGTCTCTGATCCCAGTTGGGGTTCTTTCTACGACAACAGGTGGCTTCCTAGCCATCATCTTTCCCCCACTTGTTAGTACACACATGTGACCATGTGGACACATATGTGCACACACATGCTCAGGCGCTCAGCTTGTCAGCATCAAAAATATGCCAGGACTTGGCTTCTAACCAGTCCTCAGGCAGAGCTGCAGCTCCTCTCCCTCCCTGGTTATGCAACTCTTCTAACTCGGCTCAGGCGCTCAGCTCAGCGCTCAGCCTCCTCTTAATCCCCCTCCTGGCTGGTGAAGGGAGCTCCACGCTTCACAAAGGCTGCCCTGTGCAGCCGGACGATCCTTCTGCTCTGGCTCAGAGGACACTGGGAGGAAGGGCAGCGAGAAGGAGCCCAAGGTCCAGCTAATCCCCCCGGGCCCTCGTGTGTCCGCTGCCTTTAAAAGGGAGGGGTCTGGCTTTCAGGAGCCAGAGAAGCGCTGGGCCAGGGGAGGAAGGAGATGGCAGAGGCCGGGTCCCTGCCCACAGGCTTCGGGGAGCTGGAGGTGCTGGCTGTGAGGGTGGTGCTGCTGGTGGAAGGTGAGCAGGCGGCCCGGGGCGGGGTGAGGCCTGGGGGTCGCCCAGAGTGTCTGAGGCTGGCAAGGAGAGGTCCCAACCCTCTGTGCTGGTCCCCAGGGCTTTTGGCGGCTGCACTGGGGAGCTGAGAGGAGGAGCCAGGGAGGGTCAGGCAGGAGGGCCTCTGAGAGGGGGCATCAACCAGAGCGCAGCCAAGCATCCGCTGCAAGCCTCTCCTCTGGCGGAGGCTGAGCGTCCTGCTTGCTGAGCTGGAGACTCTGTGTGCTCAGGCCCGGAGGCTCTGGAGACACCACTGCCCTACCCACCCCCACTCCTTTCCGTGCGCCTGCAACCGAGCCCCTCGTGCTCTGGCCTCGGTGCCCTGGCCTCCCAGGCGTGGCATGAAGGGACATGGTACAAAGCACCAGCTGAGTCAGACACCTCTCCGCGCCCCATCCCTGCCACCACCTCCTTCTCTCGGCCCTAAGCCTTTCCATGCCTGGGCGACAGGGTCCATGAGGTGTTAGCCTCACCCAGAACCCCACGATGCTCACTGAGGCCAGAGCTGGGCTGGGCCAGTCCAAGACAAGGCTTATGGGGATGAACCCTGGTCAGAAACAACTGGCACATCTTCTCACCCAGTGAGAGTCGCCAGGGAGCCGGAGTGCAGCCGCGGAGGGTCGTGGCGGCCGGCCACGCTTACTCTCTCCTGGGAAACTGAGGCCAGCTCCCCTGTGCCCTGAACAGGATGGGACAATGCCCACGGCACGTCTGCACACCCCATCTTCCTAGGAAAAGCTCTTTTGAGGCAGGATGCATCCCCATTTCTCAGTCAGATGGGAGAAGCTGGCTCAGCGTGGGCAGCGAGCGAGCAGCCAAACTTCAAGTCAGGTCTGCCTGCCCGATCACCAGCGCTCAGCAGCCTCCCCTCCGCCAGGCTCCCGGGCTCCGGCGTGGGGGGCACTGGGACGGAGAAACCTGTGCTCCCCGCCCAGCGGCACCCTGCCGGGGGCAGGTCAGCTGGTAGGTCTCGAGGCAGGAGGACGGCGCCCATCAAGAGCAGAGGGATCTGCAAGGCGCCAGCTGTCCATGAGGCTGGCTGCTTGGTGGGTGCAGGCTGGTCCGTCTCCCTCCAGGCTGTCTCCTGAGGGTGCTTGCAAGGCTTCAGCTGTGAGGCCAGCCTCCAGGGGGTGTTGGACGAGCTTCACGGAGAGTCTTGCTGAGTGTGAGGGCTTGTGGGGTAGAGAGCTGTTTAGGCTCCGCCCAGCCCACACTCCTGGTTCTGACCAGCCGGGCCTCCCAGCCCCTCTGCCAGCCCCTACCTTCCTTTCAGCTCTCGCCGGCCTCAGCCTCAATAGCCTGACCGTCCTCTCCTTCTGCACGAGCCCGGAGCTCCGGACTCCGAGCCACCTGCTGGTGCTGAGCCTGGCCCTGGCGGACAGTGGGGTCAGCCTGAACGCTCTCACCGGAGCCACAGCCAGCCTCCTCCGGTACGCTCCCTGGTCCTGCCCCAGCCTGACCTCTCAGCACTCAGCATTCTATTACCAACAGAAAACTGACGGTGGGAGGGGTATGAGGGGGCAGGCTGAGCGGGGTGGATCCAGCCCCAGACCCCACAGCCCCACATCGGTTCCTGGAGCACAGGAGATCCACCGACCACAGCGGCGCCGGAGAGAGCAGGCGCCTGCTCCCACGCTGAAATCTTGGCTGCATTCTTCCTCACCTCAAGGCTTCCTCTCTGAGCTGGGTCTTATTGTCTAACTCATGTGGTGGCTGGAAGTGCGTGTTGTTATGTGTGAATAATGTCACAGTTGCTGTCCCTGGGAAGCCCTAGTTACATTTGTGAAAGCAAGCAGGACTTCACTGGCTCTGAGACCTCCTCCAGGCCTGCCCCAGTCTTCCCACTGGGCCCTGGGGGTGTTTCCAAGATGGGTCCCTTTAGGGGGACTGAGCCCTGGCTCCTGCAGGTGGAGGCTGGCGCCCCCTGGTGTGAATGGCCTGGGTCCAAGCCAGTAAGTGTTCCTTCTGCTTCTGCTGAAGCTCTTACCTTTGTTTGGCTCATGAGGCCACGAGCTGGGTGTCCCGGGCTTTCCCTCTGACTCTGCCTTCATCGGCTCTGTGGCCTCAGCTCAGCGCCTTGTCTTCTCTGAGCCTTAGTTTCCCCATCTATGGAATACAGGTATGAGCTCTCTTTTCCACCGGCGTGTTCTGCTTACTGTAATGGAGGCACCTGATCACACAGAGATCTTTGTTCCAGCCGTGGGGCTGAGCCTGAGCTTGCACGGTCCCCCCCTCCCCCCCTGCAGGGACCACATAGGAAACACAGATCATACCAGCTTCATCTAAGGAGCTGGGCCAACATCAAGGAAGGTGCCTGCATGCTACTCCTGGGAAGATGTGGGTGCAGAGGCCAAGGGAGGTCACCGTGCCCATGTCTCCACAGGCGCTGGCCCTGCGGCTCAGGTGGCTGCCAGGCTCACGGCTTCCAGGGCTTCACAGCCGCGCTGGCCAGCATCTGCAGCAGCGCGGCCATCGCCTGGGGGCGTTACCATCACTACTGTACCCGTACGTGTTTGGGCTTCCAGGAGGAGGGACCCAGGCAGTGAGGGTGATCGGGATGGAAATCTGCTCAGTGTTTCCTGGTTCTAGGGGCAGGGTTAAGGGTTCACTCGGGCGGGGGGGGGGGGGGGGGGGAGAGGGAGGGCGGGGAAGGTGCGGGCACCAGGCAAGGAGGAAGACCGCATGTGCTGGGCAGGCTGTCTGTGCCTTTGTTGCATCTTAGTCTCCTCTTCTGCCAAATGGTTTTTGTAACCAGTCTCAGTTTTATCCTGAAAATCAAATCAGATCATGGATACAGAAAATGTCCTTGATGACAGGCACTGCTGGGGAGCAGAGAGGTGATGTGTAGGTGTGTGTGTGTGGGGAGGCACTGGGCATGAGACCGCACACATCACATTTCCTCGGAGCCTGTGCCATGCCAGAGCTTCATGAAAACTAGTCAAGCTCTTGATCTCCCAGGCCATATTGTCAAGTGCCATCTTAATTGGCCACCTGCTGTACCACCTGCTGTCATTTACTTGGTATTTCTTCCTTAGAAGTGAGCCACTTTTAAATACCTGCTGTATTCTTGTTCTAAACAATATCTGTGACCTCACAGCTTCAATACACATTCATATACAACCATGTTCCCCAGAGGCTCTCCAGAATCCCACTCACCTCAGCGCACACACCCGATTCGGGGAGCAGTGGCTCAGCAACCCCCACAGCAAACACCCAGCTCGCAGACTGGGAAGCAGAGGCTCAGAGAAGTGAGGGCGCTGTCTAGGCCACAGCTGATGGGGTGACCCTGGGAGTCGGCCTGGTCTGCATGCCTTCAGAGTTGGCCTCTCCCTTGCGCCCGGTCTCCCCGTTTGGAGCAATGGAGGGTCCGTGGGGCACGTGGTCAGCATGACCGGGAGTCCTGAGCACACCCCCCTTAGAATCACAGATCTGCCCTCGCCACAAACACAGGCACACACCCTTGACCCTTGGCAAAGTCACATGCCTCTCTCCAGCCAAAACACTGCCTTTGTCTGGTAGCCCAGCCCCTCCTGTCCCATCTGGCCTTGGAGCTCCTCTGCCATCACCACCCAGCCCTGCCCCACATACTCCCTCAACCACTCACACACAGACTCTCACATGTGCACACACACATACACACACACACACCTTCTCAGAGAGCAACAGGCCTCTCTGTCCCAACACGGCTGTGAGCCGGTGCCAGTACCTAGACCAAGGGCCTCCTGTGCCCTCAGGGTGTGCAGCGCCAGGCAGGGAGGGCCGGGGCAGCGCAGACTCCTCCTAGGTGATCTTAGGAATGCACCTTGGTCATCTGTTTCCAAAGCCAAAAAGGCTAATGCAACACACGGCAAGACGTCTCTGAGTCCTTGTGCCACTGTGATTGCTGTGGGGTCGTGGCCAGCTAGGAAACACCACAGATGGGGCTTCAGCCACAGGGAGTTCTATCTTGTTCTAGAAGTCCAAGGTCAGGTGCCAGTACAGCTGGGTTTTGAGGAGAGCTCTCTTCCTGGTTTGCAGGGGCTGCCTCTTGCTGTGTCCCTACATGGAGGAGAAAGAGATCATCTCTCTCTTATCTCTTCTTTTTTTTAAATGTATTTTTATTGATTTCAGAGAGGAAGGGGAAGGAAGAGAGAGAGAGAAATATCAATGATGAGAATCATCCATCAGCTGCCTCCTGCACGCTCCCTGCTGGCTAGTGAACCCGCAACCCAGGCCTGTGCCCTGACTGGGAATCAATCTGTGGCCTCCTGGTCCATAAAGCCATGCCACTAGGCCTTTCTCTTCCTAGAAAGGCACTAACCCATCTTGGGGGCTCCACTCTCAGAACCTAAGTGCCTCCCAGAGTCCTCTGGCGTTGGGCTCCGTGGTATGGCTTTCGGGTGGGAAGCATAAGATTTGATCATAGAAGCGGACATATCCATGCCAACCTCTCTGGGGCGTGAATGAAATCAGTATCAGGTGAGGGGTTTGCAGACCTGCTCTTCTCTGCTGCCCCACCTGGAGTGCTGTCTGCGGAGGAACATGACCTAGAGTCAGAGAAGGCATCTGGGGGAGGCCTTCTGGAGCAAGACCAGGAGGAAGCCTGGATGGGAAGGGCTGGGAGGATGTGAGGGTTATCGGTGGAGGAGGTCAGGTCACTGGGACCAAAACCACTGTCAGGACCTAGCCTCCCCTGTGGCACTGAGATGCCCAAACCCCACACCCAGAGCTCCTAAGTCACAAGCAGACGGCTGCTTCTGAGCGAGAGTGGGAGACGCTAAGTGTTCCACTTCCTCTGCCAATACCCGCCCGCCTCCCCTTCCCCCCGCCTCCCTGCCCCGGGTCCCTGCCCGTGGGTCTTTCCTAACTCTGCTTTGGGAAGCACTCCTTCTCCTTGCCGCCCCTTCGTTCTCTGTCCTCCAAGGAAGAGAGTACAAAGTGTCTGTGACCTCTTTATTCTCCAGAACAGCCCTCTGATGCAGGAGCCGCCTTTCCTGTTTTGTGGAAGGAAAAATGAGACTCAAGCGCTTCCCCTGCCTGAGGTCTAAGCTGTTGGGGATCGGAGGCAGGTTCAGGTCATTGTGCCCGACCACGAAGGTGGTGGTAGGGAGGAGCTTCCATCAGCTCCTCCCCACCACCTCCTCCTCCCTGCAGGCAGCCGATTGGCATGGAGCACGGCCGGCTCCTTGGTGCTCTTCGTGTGGCTGTCTTCGTCCTTCTGGGCAGCGCTGCCCTTCCTGGGCTGGGGCCACTATGACTACGAGCCCCTGGGGACCTGCTGCAGCCTGGGCTACCCCAGGGGGGACAGGTGAGACGGAGGTGCCCTTCGGGGGAACCCTGGCCAGGAGCCCTGTGTCAGCAATGTCATAGTTGGAAATCCCAAAGGGAGGGCCAACAGTGGCCAAGCAGTCCTGACCCCTGAGCTGTGAGGCCCACTTGCAGGCTGATGAGGGGCAGGGCAGCCCTCTCTGAGAGGCCGAGGGACGACGGGTACAGTGAGGGCAGAGGGGGCAGCTGCAAGCACCGGCCTGGTTGGTGGTAACAGCTGCTGAGCCCAGGACCCCTTGACCCTCTCAGCAGTCAGCCATTGGAGCTGCAATTTGCGTGCTTTCTAAGGGGAGTCCTGCCCTTGGGTTGGAAGGATTCAGGGAATGTCACAGTCTTTGCTTTGGGAGGAACTGCCTTGGTACAGCACAGAGATCTCTAAACCCCTGAGCCGTTGTGGCAGGCCAGCCCTGCAGAAACAGAGCAGAGGCAGAGCAGATACACAAGACATTGTCAAGGAGCCCATGTCTACTGTCCATCCCCTCCCCACTCCCCAGACTCCTGGAGACCAGGACTGAGAGGAGGGACCACATGGGCTCAGCTCCCTCTCACTTCCAGCAGAACTGCGTTGCATTTAGATGTTTACTCACTTTTGCTCGTGAAGCATCTGCCCCTGATGAAACCTGCTCAGAACCCTGCACAGCATTTCCCTGTCTATGCCGTCCTGCTGGCACCCCTTCCCCCATCCGCCCTTAGTGAACAGCACCCAGATGACATGGTATCTTCTTTAAAATATGTATGTTTTTATTGATTTCAGAGAGAAAGAGGGAAATGGAAACATCAATGATGAGAGTTGATGATTGGCTGCCTCCTGCCTGCCCTCTACTGGGGATGGAGCCCACAGCCCAGGCCTGTGCCCTGACAGGAAATTGAACCACGACCTCCTGGTTCATAGGTCAATACTCAACATTGGCTGGCAACATGGTATCTTCTTAATGAAGGATCAGCCCTTGCACCTCCCACAACCACAGCAATTGCTTCAGTGACACAGGGCCAGTCTCTGCCATCCACAGGCTCCTTCCAAACCCCTGGGCCAGGAACACTCCTGGGATGCTCCTTCCTCTTGGTCCATTGGCATCTCCATCTGGTAAACATGGTTTCCAAACAGAAGTGCCCACTCCCATGCTGGCAGCACATGCTGAGCTGGGCACCTGGACGGACAACAGCTAGGGAAGGAGGAACCTCACCCAGCTCCCTGGCTCCTCCGGGCGCGTCTAGGAGGCCCGGTGGCTTCCTGGTTCTGAGGGGAGTGCAGCCAGGACAGGAGCAGCCACCCTCTGAGCTCGCACCCCTGGGAGCAGATCCCCGCATGCAGCTGCCTAGAGCAGAGGCGAGGTGGAGGGACTCGGGGACCCCTCTCCTTGAGATACAGCCTCCCGCTCCCCTCTGTCTGCAGAAACTCCACCAGCTTCCTCTTCGTCATGGCCTTTTTCAACTTCCTCCTGCCCCTCTTTATCACACGCACATCCTACCGGCTCATGGAACAAAAACTCAGGAGGACCGGGCCCCCCCAGGTAAGGCCAACCCTGGAGCAGAGGACTCCGGCTGCTCAGGGACACAGGAGCTGGAAGGATGCAGATGCAGTCGGGGTTCCTGTGTTTTCCACAATCAGCAATGCAGCTGCCGCAGGGGAGGGGAGAGTGCCCCTCCTGTGGGTGCTGGGATCGGGCGCCATGACCCTGGGGAAGGGCCAGGCTGCTCAAGCTTACCGGCGACACTGAGCCCCGAAAGCCGGGCCTGCCCAACCTCACATGTTACGGTTCTTTCTTCCCAAGGCCCTGAGGTCGGCACAAAGTTGCATGCTTTTTAAAGCTGCTGCAGCAGCGTGGAGGGTGAGCTCCTCGGAGCGCACGCGCGAGCGAGAAGCCCTGCGGTCCTGGGTGGCACACACTGGTTGTGTTCCTGTGTGGGAAGCCGCCCTGTGAGCCAGGACCTGTGGCTGCAGCTGCAGGAGAGCCGGTTCCAGGCTGAGGTGTGAGGGCTGCGCACAGGAACCCTTGTGCACACAGACACACTCAGGGAGCCCGGGTTTGGCCAGACCCTGCCTCCAGGCCAGTCAGGTAGAATCTGGCCATTTTATAGACAAAGCAACTGAGGCCAAGCAAGCTTACATGAGAGGCTGAGGTTGTGCATCTGAAATGGCAGAAGGGATCCTGGGATCCCAACTTCCTCCACAAGCTCAGCACCTTCCCCCAGCCTGGCCATGTGCCAGCCTGTGTGTGCTCACATGGCCCCTGGCTGCCTGGGCTGCCAGCCGTCAGGGCAGTCATGCCTCCTCCCATGCCCATTTCTCCCCAGGTGAACACCACTCTGCCAGCCAGAACACTGCTGCTCGGCTGGGGCCCCTATGCCCTCCTGCACCTCTGCGCAGCCCTCATGGGCACGGCCCTCATCCCCCCCGGGCTGCAGGTGGTAAGGGACCCCCAGTGCCAGTGCCTGGGCTCACTCCACTTTGTCTCTCTCTTGCTTTCCTGCCTCCATGATAGTCTCTCTTCCTTTGAATACCCAAAATTCACTGGGACTGTGCTTATCGCCCAGGCCACATGGGTGGCTGCTCGATGCTGCCTAAGCCTCGATGAGATGACAGGACAGATGGCCAGAGGGGATGTGCCTCTGGGGCCAGGGGCTGAGGCTGTGCCCAGAGCCATGTGCTCCCAGACAAGACACATGGAAAGCTAGTCAGGGTGGACAGAGCAGCAGGACAAGTGATGGGGCTCCAGGTGGGATCGGGAAGAGGGTCGAGCCTTTGTGACGTTTTTCCTGGGTGTTTTTGCCACAACAGGTGCCCGCTCTCATTGCCAAAATGGTGCCCACAGTCAACGCTGTGAACTACGCCCTGGGCAGTGGAATCTGGCAGCGCCTGTCCCTGCAGCGAAGTGGGTGGGACTCGGCCCAGCGAGCTGCTCGGGTGCTGCACTGACCAGGCCCCCACGCCTGGACGGAGCCTGGGCTGGGTGCTGCCCGTGGGTCCTAACCAGAAGGCTCAGAGCCAAGCTCCAGACATGCACCCTCCAGTCCTAACAGCCATGAGCCAGCCCGGGCTGGACACTGTAGGGAGCGGCTCTAGGGTCAGGCCTGGGGCTGACCTGGGCAGGACCACAAACAACTTCCAACCTGGAGGACAGAGCTCTCCCAGCATAATTAAGCCTGACCTTGCAGCCCTCCCTAATTCTTTCCTAAGTAGCTAATGGGCTATGGGAGGTAAAGCAAGTGCTGCCAAAACAAGAACATCTGAAAACATGTTAGTCTACCCTTGTAACCAGACTATAAAATAAAGCATGGGCTTGCAGGCTGGGTCTTTTGTGTCCTCATCCAGGCACGGGAGATCCATCAAGCCCCAACTCTATTCTCTTGTCTGTCTTTCTAATCCTTCAACGCCTCCTCAGGCTCACCATGGTCATGATGGTGTGGCACAGGACACAGGACCTTGAGACGCCAGGCTGCATGACAGTTGTGGGAGGGGGCAGGCCCTGAACGTGAGTCATAGCAACCCCTGACCCCAGGCGGAGGCTCTGGGAAGCTATTGCTCCTGACCTTGACATAAATGTTAATATGGTTCCACAGATTTTGTGAGGCTCAAACAGGATGACGTAGGTGCACAGGGAAGCTGCTCATTGAACAGAACTGAGAGCACTCAAAGTTGAGGTAGAGCCCTGGTGCCCGCAACTTGGCCGCCAGCATTCAGACGCCACTGATTACACTGTGGTCCGGGCGCGTTTCCCAGCTTCCAGGGTGATGTCAGGACGGCTGGGTGTGTGGGAGGGGTCAGGTGCTCCCTGAGTTACCCACCAGCATGCCCTAGTCAGACAGCAGCCCGTGCTGCTTAGTCGCCAACATTAAAACAAGGTTTATTTAGAATCCCAGAAGCTTGAGAAGGAAGCCTGTGCCTCTGCTGTGGGACAGGTGCAGGCTTAGGCGCGCTGCCCTGCCAGTGCCCCCTGCAGGAGTGGCCCGTGTGCTCCCTGCGGAGCCCGTGGCACCTGGGCTGTGACACCAACACAGTCCCCACCTGAGGCCCCCGTGTTCCCCCTGAGTCAGCACTGCGGGGACAAGGAACAGGAGCTGGGGAGATGGGGAGTGGGGGCGACGCAGGGCTCAGGGAGGCCTGGTGAGGCAGAAATGGCAGAGCGCAGTCCGGGGAAGGGTCCTCAGAACAGCAGCTGGGTCCTTGGCACCAGGGCCTGACTGTTGCAGATGCAGAAATCAGGCCACACACTGGCAGCTCGGGGCGTGCATACAGGCTGAGGCCAGTCCCTCATTCTGCACCCAGTGGTGAGGAGGCAGCTGCCTCACACACTCTTCGAGGCCATGCTGGCCTCACTCACGGCTTAGACAGGCTTGTCTTGGGCCCTAGACTGGGGCCAGGAGGGAAACAGTGGCCTGAGTGGTGCACACCACAGGTGTGGGCGGCCAGGAGGGCAGCGGGCTCAGTGCCTGGAGGTGTGCCCCCACCACAGCCTCAACTGTGTTTATCAAGGAGCGACCTTCACTCACCATTGAGGGACTAGGAAACGTGGTGAGAAGAAGAGAGAGGAGCTCAGACTCAGAAAGGGTGGAAGCTGAGAGGCTGAGGACATAGCGAGTGGCAGCCCCCACACAGGCCCCGCCCCCGTGCTCAGTGGAGGGTGGGAAGGGGCAAGACAGCCAGTGTGGCCAAGGACACCTTGAGCCCAAGCCCAGGTTTGTGTGGAGCTGGGAACAGTGGGCTCAGTCCATCTCCCCACTGGAGGACAGGGTCAGCAGGAAAGGAGAAGGGCTGCAGCAGTGCTGTTGTGGGGGGTGTAGAGGGGAGGGGGGTGGACAGGACAGGGGGTCCCCAAAGCCTGAAGCCCTTTGCTCTAGAAGTTCCAAGTCCACCCATGCCCTCGCCTCCACTCACATGTAGGCCTAGGAAGCCTCCTCATCCTTGAGCATGCCCCAAAGTCCTCTGAGCACCAGGTGCAGGCCTCTCACCCTGCCCTCCTGCCCCCCAGACCCTCAGCCCCCTCCCAGCCTCACCCTTCCATGGAGCAGCTCAGAGAGACAGGAAGGGGCTGACTCTGACACAGGCCCGCCTCTGCCAGCCCGGCACCATCGCTGGGCAAGGTCAGAGCCACCTGTCAGCCCTGGTCCTGGCCGGACCCTGACACCGGCTGAAGCACAGTGGTGGGGTGGGGGCCGGGCACTGTCCTGTGGTCTGAGGACCCAGACTTCCTTCGCTCTCAGTGGCCCTGGGCTGTCCACAGCCTCCCTGTGGCTGGTCTCTGGGGGACAGTTGTCCCCCTGCAGTCAGGGACACGGAGAGCAGCATCCTTGCCTCCTTGGAGCTCTGCTCCAGGCCCCTCTGAGGGTTGATTTCGGTGGCTGTTCTTCCCGTCTCCTCACTCTCCTGCCCACCTGCAGCTCCTGCTGAGAAAGGTCTCGCTCTTTCTGGGCCCCAAACCACTCTTCTCCACTCACCTGTGCAGCCCCTGATGCGGCCTGGAAGGGACAGTGCCCGGCCCCCACCCCACCACTGTGGCTCCCCTGCCCAGCCATCTGTCACTGGAGTGCCAGGCTCTCCCCAAGATTCTTGAACATCAGGAAAACAGAGGCCACGTGGGGGGCAGGGGAACAACAGTCCTGAGAAACCAGGAGAGAGGTGAAAGCAGCAGAATCCGAAGCCTGGTCCACAAACCTGAGAGCGCAGGCCCCTTCACTGGGCCTGGGGCCTACCCTGCCTGTGCGTCAGGCCTCCCCAGCCCCACAGGCCCAGTGGCTTCAGCCCACAGCCCACCAGAGACTCAGAATGGACGAGAAGAGGCCACGAGGAGGTAGCTGAACCACCAGGCCAGGCGCTGGACAACCACGCAGGCAACTCCAGCAATCACGTCCTTGTGTGCAGTTTATGTCCAGAACTGGACCTCAAGCCTGTCCATGCCATTTGGACTTGCTCATCTACTTCCTCGGTGTGTGTTACTGAGCAGCTGCTGTGTGCAGACACTGTGCCAATGGGATGACACGGCCAAGATGCTTTCCAGTGACAGCAGGAGATGTCCATGGTCTTTGTTTCTTCGTGGCACTTGTGACCAACTGACACCACACAGAATAAAGTCAAATTGGGTAAAAGACTTAAATGTAAGTTATGAAACCATAAAAATCCTAGAAGAACCCACAGGCAGCAAAATCTTAGACTTCTCATGTAGCAGAATTTTCACTGATACATCTCCTAGGGCAAAGGAAAAATACACAAATGAGACTACATCAAAGTATGCTCCCACACAGCAAAAGAATCCATCCATAAAATGCAAAGGAAGCCCACTGTATGGGAGAACGTATTTTGCGATGATACATCTGATAAAGGGTTAATATCCAAAATATCTAAGGAACTCATACATCTTAACAAAAGGAAGACAAACAATCCGATTAAAATATTAGCAAAGAACCTGAATGGACACTTCTCCAAAGCGAGCACACAGATGCCCAATAGACATTTGAAAAATGCTCAAAGTCACTGATCATCAGACAGATGCAAATGAGACAACAATGAGGTATCACCTCACACCTGTCAGAATGGCTTCCAGCAATAAATCAACAAACAACAAGTGCTGGTGAGGATGTGGAGAAAAGGGAGCCCTCATGCACTGCTAGTGGGAACACAGAGTGGTGCAGCCACTGTGGAGAACAGTACGGAGTTTCTTAAAAAAAATTTGAAATGAAATTGCTGTTTGACCCAGCAATCCCACTTCTAGGACTATATCCTAGAACCTGACACACCAACCGGAAGAAATATATACACTCCTATGTTCATAGCAGCACAATTTACAATAGCTAAGATCTGGAAACAGCCCAAGTGCCCATCTATAGACGAGTGGATAAAAAAAACATTTATACCATGTGATAGTGTGCAAGTTGAAATAAATAAATAAATAAATAAATAAATAAATAAATAAGGATCTCTTACCCTTTGATACAACTTGGAGGGACCTGGAGAGCATTATGCTAAATGAAACAATCCAGTCAGAGAAAGACAAGTACCACATGATCTCACTCATACGCAGAATCTAATGAACAAAATAAACTGATAAACAAAATAAGACCAGAAGTATGGAAGCATGGAACAGACTGAGAACTCAGAAGGTAGGGCGGGAAGAGATTAACCAAAGACCTTGTATGCACATATGCATATCTCATGGACACTGACAATGGGTTGGTGAGGGGCTGGGATTGGTAGGGGCTGGGTGAAGGGAGTCAGGGGGAGGGAATGATGAACATCTTTAAGGCTGTCAAAAATACTTAAAAAATAAATAAATAGGTGCCAATATGGATACAAAGACCAAGTAAGTGGCATTAGTCACAGTAGTAAGGGTGATCAAGATTACTCAAAAGTTTCCTTCAGAATCTCTACAAGTCTACCTCAAAACTCCTTCCCCTCATTCTAGACAAATAAACATGTCCACTGAGCTTCACTTGTATTTGGTTTAATTGTGTGTTTCCACAGAATTGTCCCCTGCTGACATTAAATGCACAGTGCTTTCAGCCCCATTATGGCGGCTGCTTCTTCTTCTTCTTCTTCTTCTTCTTCTTCTTCTTCTTCTTCTTCTTCTTTAACTTTCTGTGGTTTGACTTGATTGCTAAATGCCACCATTACATTAAGCTAACAGAGAAGGCCCATGCATTGTTCCTGGGTCAGATGGGGCCCCAGCAGTGATGTGCCCTCCTTGGCACCCACAGTAATCACAGGCCACCAGGGCCATCCCGTCTTCCGCCACAGCTGGAGAGGGTTCAGACAAGGCAAAGGTTTTTAAACTCTATCAAAAGGCTAACTCCTTGTAAAACAAGATGTTTGTTACAAATTTGATGTTTGCGTCCTCCCAAAATTTGTATGTTGAATTGCTACCCCCCAGTGTGACTGCTTAGGGACTCAATATCCAATTTGAGTAGGCAGAAAAAAGAATCAGT